TTGTCAAGACCACTCAGCCTGTTCCAGTGTCTTTCGTGATGCAGCAACCCGCCCGAGACCCTTCTGACGATATCTTTGGCGACGCCATGGTTCCTTCTGTGGATATTGGATCAATGTCATTTACCAAAGCAGCGGAGAATGCTGACTTTAGCTTCACTATCCCGGATTCGCCGGAAGAGTTGCAGGAGATATTCAAGGCTCCCGAGCCATTGGCCACTCGCGTTTCGGACTCTCTTGCCTTTGAGTCTTTGAACCCCTCCCGACGTCGCTCCTTGGTCCCACCGTCTCCTTTTGGAGAGCCTTTGTTTGACGATGACAAATCTGATTCCATCGCGACCGACGAAATTCCCAATGTTTTCTTTGGACGCACCCGCACAGCGGCATCAACACCTATTGTAGACGATGTCAAGTCGAACTCCTCTCCGGAATCCCTCAACTCACCACTCAAGATGTATTCTGCTAAAACGCCGAGGGTAGATCGCAAGGACTCTCCAAAACCAATGGGATCCCCGCTTCTCACCAGGACGCTTAGACAGCAGCTTGAGATTACTTTGTTGAAGGACATGAGGTCTCCGTCGAAATCTGGATTATCCAGTCTTTCCTGGCTCGCAAATGTCACGCCAATGAAGATTAAAGAACTTTTGCGCAGGAAGAGTTCTGTGAAGACATCACCGACAAAGGGCCGACTTTTTAAAGAGGAGGACGCCCATTCAGCGCCGCCGAGTCCTGGAAAAAAAGTTGGCGCGACATGTCGTTGTACCATCAGGTTTGCAGCTCCTGGCCAAAATGGCCCTTCCCATTGCAATGTTCGTCCTGATCGCATCAGGCCTCTCTTTGGCGTTCTGGTTCTCGCTGACGGTCACTCAATTCAATACTGTGACGCGTCTTCGCCCTCCTCGTCATACTGTATACCCTGTCCGACGCACTTCAAATGCATGAACGGACACATCTGTATCGTGTGTTGAGGAAACCCATTCCATCCTCTCCCTGCCTATTTTTGGTCCCCTCGGTGTCGTTTCGGGCCTCTCGGGTAGCTGTGGAGATCAGGGCAAGGATATGTTGTCATCAACCGCATTTGAGGTTTGTTTTAATACCACCTATCCGTGATCTAATTACATCATAAAATAGGTTTTTGCAGAGACGGTGATTTCAACACTTGCACAGACCATGAACGTAGTTCTTCGTATATCGACATGGCCGTTACTGCTTTTTGGCGACTCATGGTGCCAGTTATTCAGCAATTGAGTCAATGGGTATGACGAAGCAACATCCACTTTGGCGCTTTCCGGAGCAGTCAGTCTGATGCTATTATAGTCTTGCATACCTTTTACGGTTCGAAGCAACCCTCTGACAGGCGAATTGAAGAGCTTGGGTCGAGATTATGGCTGAACGTATAGTCACAAGCTTACGTGACATGGACGATGATTTGGAAAAGAAGCACCTGTACGTGTTGATCAATTGCGGGACTCGTTTTGCCTCTGCATAACCTTCCGTCGTCAAGTGTTCGTGGTTGACATGATGAAGGCGTTTATATCGGAAGGAATCCCGTGAGGTTGCGAGGGAGCGGTTTGGGGAAGGGTTTGCAGGCTGTCAGAGAGACGGCAGGGTGGAGTTGCAAGAGGGTTTTGAGACACTGCGATGGTTTGGTCGTGGTGCGATGTGACGAGCGGAAGGACTTGGATGAACAACTTTTGGAATTATAAGCTTTACTTTACTCCCTTTTGTATGTTTTAAACGTCCACAGATTTTTTTCTTTTGCTCTATTTGATGTGCTTTGCCTTTGTCTTTATAGTTTATTGAACGATCTTATTTTTGCTCGGTCTTAAAATTGGATTTTGTGTGATAATGCACGAGCTTACACCTTTATCCAAAGGCACATGAATCTGTTTTTGTTAGTGTTATCAGTTCCTGCCGACTTCTGTACCTAAAAGACAGGAGCCAAAAGGGCTGGCATAGTTAGAGTACCATTTTCTTATTGCCTACTAGGCATAATAGCGATGGAGAAATAGATGAAGTAGTGCGGAACAACAATAATTGTAATACAAATCCAATTAAGATTTATGCATGCTCCATAGATCCAAGTCGGGCTTTAATCATTTAATAGATTTACTCGTAGCAAAAACCACATATACATAAAAACAATAGACTAAACAGGTTGCTGGACAATAGTTTAAACAAGGTTAAGATGAATAAAAGTGAGTGTGGGTAACGAAAGAAACATTGTGCGCAAAGTCAAGGAAAAAAGAGACGAAGGACTGAAAATAAAAGTAGAGAAAGGTGAGTTGGCTTAAAGGGCAATGTACACTTGGGGGTTGGAGACATTAATAAAAGGCTTTAAACAGTTACAGCTGCTGTGGCAGAACTTTCGGCAATTTCTGCATCGTGAATTTCCCTTGCGACTTCAACATCATGTCTTCCTTTCTCGGGGTCGAGATACCTGTATTCAATATGACGGTTTAGAAAACATCGGATATTGTAGTGGAAATGCACATAAGTTTTGTTCAAAAATTAAAGATGCAAGAAAGAGACTTACCACATGCAGAAAACCGGCAACACCAGCATTACAAACAAGAAAAAGAATGAATACCGCATCTGATGTGTCGCATCCGTGATCGCCCCAACAATCAAAGGTCCAAACCACGAACTTCCCTTATCCGTGATTGAATAAAGTGCAAAAAATTCACTCTCCTGTCCGACCGGCAAAAGCTCACTAAACTGCACACGACAGAAACTTTGAAGAGCGCCAAGAAGACAGCCATAGTAAATACCAGCTGGGAAGAGTTCCCATTTGTGGCGCATACCAAAGGGTGCAAAGAGACCAAGGATGCCGTACATGGGGAGGGCGGTCATGAGACTGAGGAGGAGGAGAATCATGGCACGGGTGGACCAGCGATAACGCTGTTGGAATTTGAGCCATAGGTAGTTGCCGCCGGCAGCTGTGAGAGGGGCAGCGATGGCAATGGGAACGATCTCGGAACTCGTGAAACCAAGTTCGTTCTTAGTATTTCAATAAAGATTAGAGATGATCCGAAATACGTAAATCAAAGGAAGAAACCAGAAAGGAAGAAAAACATAAAATAAAAAACAAGATATTATGAAAGATGAAGACCTAATAGTATAAAAAAGAGAAAAAAAAGGAGAAAAACAACGGAAAATATATCACTGTGCGAAAGAATAGTCACGGATCCAACTGTAGTAAGCGCGTCCGAAAGCAAAAACCACGCCACAAGAAACAAAAAAGTATTCGGAAGCTTCCTAGCTCTCTTCACGGTATCCAACCTCTTCCAACTGTAGAAAAAGTAGCTTTCCCCTTTGGGCAACGGCGGTCCTGGTCGTGCCCGCATATTTTACGGATAGTACGCTCCAATAAGCGTCCACAATCCGTCACAGCTACACCATCTGTTGAGCATACTCCAACACCAGCATTCCAAATGAAAATCCACTGGTGGCCAGAGTAGAATTCGCTGGAACCGTAGCGGTGATCAGGAAGGAAGCACCGGCGAGAGCGAAACAACCGATGGCGCCGAGGTAGCCGAGGATCTGGAGTAGGCGGAAATGGCGTTGCAGACGGTTTCGATGGGTTGTCGCGGGCTTTGCGGTCAGGTGGGTGCGAGTGGTCACATACCAATGTGTCCTGCATATAAAGGACTGAAAGAATTAGTATGTGATTTTGCTATGTTAATAATTAAAGCTTAACTTACTGTATGCATCGTAAAATACGTATGATGCACCAAGACTGATGTTTGCCATAACCATAAGGAATGAGCCAAAGGCAACCAAGCTGAATAATTAAAAAGTTTAGAATAATGCGAATGATAAAATGCGAGGTAAGCCCCGAAATTACAGCAAAAGGCCACCTGAACTTCTGATCAACAAGAAAGCCAAGCAGAAGACTCCACTTGCAACCATAAATCCGATCATAAACCTCTTCCTCCAGAATCCATGATCAGCGAGAGCTCCTAAACTCACAAAAATGATGGCCTGCAACAGCACAGACGCCGCTGTAGTATAAAGCGCAAAACTGGATACATCAATCCAAGCTCCAGCAACTTGAACAACACAACGGTATCCAGCTTGAGTGTAATCACACTGCTTGGACAAATCGTCGGCAACCCTTCCGTTGCCAGCAGCAAGGCCTTGTAAGATCAACGGAATGAGTGCAGTCATTCCAACGACGACGATCGGCTCAAAAGCCCACGAGTAAACGTAAAAAGCCTTGAGTTCTTCTTTGGAAAGCGGCGGATGATCGTCGTTAGGGTATGCCGCATCGACCTCCGCATGCGTAGGCCCATGACGAAGATGCATCAACTTTAGATCTTCAGCCGGCTCCTCCTCAGTCTCCACTATGCCTTCCTTTTGATCACCAGACTTGCTTTCCACATCCCCTTCTTTCGGACGGCGGAACCTAAATCCAAACGGCTTCCTGTCGTCTCGACCGCTCCCTGACCACGGTGAGCGTTTCTGGGCTCCACTAACGATGGGAGCTGCAGAATCTGCAAGGGAGATACTTGCTTGAGATGAATGGAGAGTCGCAACGTCTGATGGCTTGGCTGAAAACTTGCGTTGTTGCTCCGACGCTAGACCAGTCCATCCTGCACTGGCTTCATCATGGTCAGTTTCGGGCAGCGTTACTGTGGATGCTGTGATGGCGAGGACAGCGATATCATCTTCCTTGGCGTCGCTGCCTTCTCTGGAGCGGGACGTGCTTGATGGCATTGTGGTCGACATTTCTATCATGCTGGGAGCGTCTTGGTTTTGTTGATCTTGGGCATGGCCGATAGATGTGCTTAATATGGTATCGTCGGTAGAGAGAGGCCTCGCAGGAGGTACGAAAGGCGCATCACCCGTCGTCGAATCCTGTGGCTTCTCACCACTCATTGATGGGCTTTTAAACTTTTGGCGTTGAGAAAAAAAAATATACGGTTTCGAAGAAAAAGACACGGTATCGAAGAAAAAAGCGCACAAACTCAACGAAATGGTAAAAGAAAAAAAACAAAAAATGCCTCCGCCCGGAGTTGAACCGGGGATCTTCACATTACAAGTGTGACGCCTTAACCACTTAGCTACAAAGGCATGGGGATTCTCCTGGTCGGGATCGAACCGACGACCATTGACTGGCATGAAGGCGCGGTACCCACATAAGATCAATGCTCTACCAGCTGAGCTACAGGAGATGGTTAGATATTCGGTTTTTTTCAATGGCCCTACTAGTACCAAAGGCGTACCCCCAATTTCCATATCAACAATCCTGACGCTCCCTTTAATGCCGTTGATGTTGTGAAGTAAACAATAAAGTGCAACAGTACTCACCAGTGAACTGCTTCCCTCTCACTAGCAATCTGCGCAGCAGTCTATCGAAAAAACGATGCACTCTCTTCGGTTCCAAACCATTCGATCCTGGTTCTAAAAATTCAGTGAAATTCGTTCGGAGCTTGATTCACTCCCTCACTCACAGTACCACACACTTCACACCTTCCAATCTGCGGCAAAGATGGTTGTCGAAGAATCCTTAGAGTGTGCATCATCAACCCACATTGAAAACATCAAGCCGAGGAAGAAGAAGAATGGCTCCATCTCTTCTCTCAAGACATCCATTGCCAGTCTAGAGTCCGAAAAGAAGATTCTGCAGGGAAAGTTAGAGAGTGAGCTGGCAAAGAATAAGGTGGCTGGAGAACTGCTTAAGATACTCAAGCGACAGGTCATGGATCATGAAGAAACGATGGCTGAAAAGGTCTTTTGTTGCTTATTTTTATACTGCCCCTCTTTTTTTTTTTTTTTTTTTTTTTTTTTTGTACTGTTATCAGTTGGTTGTCGTACTCGACTCCTTACCGTTTTGAAATATCTGTGCTGTCGGATCATAGCAAGCGCATTACGAAAAAGTGATTGCAACTTTGGGACGCAAGGAGGAAGGATATGACGAGTTAGAGGAGGCTAAAGTCGATGTCAAGAGCAAGAATCTGGGGGACACGAATTCTCCACCTTCAGTAATACCGCCTCCCACAACAGCAATAATGATGGGTACGCCAACTGCATTATCTACTGCATCGTTTGAGACCATGAATGGGACTCGCACGTCACAGCCAGAGATGTTGGCTGTGGATTCCACCATCATCACGGGAACCGAAAGTAACAACATGGCGAGTCTAGTCGCGGCCAGCATGGACGAAAAAGTCCGCGCCACCCAGTCTCTCGTCTGCAGTCTTCAAGAATCCGTAAATACTTTGACGTCGCGCTGTCAGGACCTGGAGACTCTCGTTTCGAATTCTTCAGAAAAAGAAGAGCAACTCAAAGATGACCTTCAACTTCAGGCCGCTCGGTTGGGTCAAGTTTTGAAAGTGGCTCAGGAGGGAGAGTCTCAGCTTTTAGAGGCTCGCGAGGAAGTAGAGCGACTCCGCGCGCTCGTCAATTTTTCTGATGAACGAATGAAGGGATTTAGTTTGTTAGAGGAGCGTGTGGGCGAGCTGCAAACTCTAAATCAGGAAAAGGATGTCAGGATTGAGGAGGGGAATCGAAAGTTGGAGGAAATGGAGACTCGCATGACAGAAATTATTAAACACTTAAAGCATTGGAGCATTGCTCCGGATGGTGGGTACCGATCGCGATGTGTTTCGCGGCCCTTTATCTTTTAAAAAACCCTCGCTTACTTGTTTCTATCGTGTTTCCTTTTCTTTAGTAGATCATTTACTCTTTGATCGAGGTCACTGGGTGCCAAACAACCAGCGGCCAATGTGTGCTGAATCGACTTGCGAAGTGAAATTCTCGGTTTTTCACAGACGCCATCACTGCAGGAGGTACGATAGCCTAAAAGTTTTTTCTTCCTTCGCCCTCGATGATATGGTGTTTCTTTCTTCACAATTCAATTATTTCGAATACATACATATTCATTTATTCGTTAAAGATGCGGCGAGATATTTTGCTCCTCTCATGCTTCGAAAATGGCGCATCTGTCAGTGGCAGATCGCCGTTTCAGATCTGACGGAATCGAAGCCAAAGTCTGCGATCTTTGTTTTGAAGCGACAGAGGTATTGATCAAATCACGCGGTATTTTAATCTGTCTTAGGGCATACACATTGCGCGTGATTTAGGTTTAACTATGTAAATGTTTGAAAGATGCTCAATGTGATCCCTTCCTTTCCTTATATCTGATGCACATGCTTTAAAGTGTAAATAAAAAAGATCAAAGCAAATGATGGATACGTTTAAAGCGGCGTCGAATTTAGAAAAGCAAGAAAAGGGCAAAGAAAGCAAGACGATGAAAGACGGTGAAAGAAAGCATTTTTTAAAAAAAATACTATGGTAGTTCGAAGGTTAATATAAGAGATGGATAGATAAGAGATGGATAGAAAGAGAGCGGAAGCAATGATGGAAGGCAGAAGAAAACAAGAAACGATTGATAAAGACGAGATATACCCAAAGACGCTAATACATAAGGTTTTAAAGGCACTATAAGACGTTTTAGTTTTCACCATCAGCCTTGGCTTCATCTCTTAATTTTGCCACCGCCTGATAGCCAACCTACAGGCAATTGATGAAAACGGGGAAAATGCGGTTAGAGCACAATTACGAAAACCGCACAGCATCATTAAAAAGGAAAACAGATAACTAACCATTTTACGGAAATCGTATCCCGCACATGCAGCCCCAATTGCATCCTCTGCACCCTCCCACTTTCCAGGTCCTTCTAAACGATACTGGAACGGTACAGCAGGTCCAAACGTAACCTGCGCAGCCAAAAGCCACTGACTTTTCCAAAGCTTCCACAAATCTGGCTTGCATCCAACAACTTCAGCCAATTCATCCATGTAGCCGACATAGTCCACTTGAATAGTGTGTCTGTCTCTCGCGATATAGTTGGGATCACTCAAAGCCTTATCGACGGCTGTAGACATTTCGTCAGATGAAGGAAGTGGTGGACCTTCACCGGAAAAGACGCGGGCAACCCATCGAGACTGCATCTCAGCGACGGGCATGATTGCACCAGTGGGCTGGGCGAGGCCGACAAATGCAATATTTTTGTGGTGGAGTGGAAAAACGTTTTTGTACAAGCGAACGCGGTTAGAAGTGGGAGAGGTACTGGATGCTGTTGAAGGAGTAGGGGAGGCATCGCGAGATGAAGATGTCGAAGCGGAGTCGTGATCTTGTCCGAGGATTGCTCGAGAATCAAGGAAAGGATGCTCAATCCTATAGCCTGTGCAATAGACCACATGGTCAACGTCTTCAGTGGTCCCGTCCTCGAATTCCACTCGCTGCCCAGACACAAATTTAGAGATGTTAGGGCGGACAATAATCTTTCCCGCTCCAATGCGGTCAAGAACTTCAGAGTTGATGGTGCGATGAGCGTCAAGGAGACTGTGCTCGGGTTTTAAGCCAAACTTTTCAATATTTCCGTTTTGAAGACGCATCAAAGTCTCTACGGCAAAATTAAGAACGGTTTTCGGCAAGGCAGATGATGCCCTGGAAGACAGATGGTCTGTGGGAAGACCAAAGAGGGTGAATCGTGGGAGGACCCAAGTTCCAGATCTCGAAGAAAGAATGACTTGCCGAGCGTGATATGAAAGCTCCGCGGCAAGATCCATTCCCGAATTTCCAACGCCGATGATAAGAACTCTTGCGTCCTTGTATGGATACGGACTGCATGAGTACGTGTTAATAAATCAATAACTGCAACTCTAAAACTCACACTCGATAAGAATGAGAATGCAGCATGCCTCCCCGGAATTTTTCCACACCTGCAAAGTCAGGGAGACGAGGCTTCCAATGATGACCGGTAGCGACAATCACATAGTCAAAGGTTTCAGCTTTTGATTTAATAACCGGCATCCGTGCATCTCCCACTAGGCCACCAAAAAACACGTCCCCAGGTACGTTCGGCGTGAACTGAACGGTTGTAGCTCCATCCAAAGCAGGAAAAACACTCCCCGGCGATCCAGGAATTCCCCGCATAACAGGTGATGAAGGCACAATGTCGTATCCATGCACGGGGGGTCCCGTCATCAAAGGGTTGTTTTCGTCCTCGTTTGGAACAGGGGAGCGTCCACGAGATCTGGGACTATCAGGCGACATTCCCCGTGCAAATCTTGCCGGAGACATATTTCTTCTGTCCAGCGGCGATGTTGAACCCATCGGAGAACTGCTTCTCATCGCGGGAGAAAGTCCTCTTGATCCTCCAGGTCCCGGAGCATTCCGCCGTCTACACTTTTGGGTCACAACCTCCCATCGTCCCGTGTGTACTCCATTTGAATCGATTTCAGGGGAGACGGAAACGACTTTGCGGTTGAACTTAATGTACTTGCGAAGGTTGAAGTTATCACAGTACATGTTGAGGTACTTGGCAACGAATCTGTGCGGCAGGAAGGCAGGCCAGTCTGATAAAGTGAGGTCTTAATTCTACTTCGACAAAAAGCATTTCCAAACCTTTTGGGACAGGAAAGTCTGAATATGACATCTACAAAAAAACAATAAAGTCAACACCATACATCTCTGAAAACAGAGGGGGCCGGGGCTGCTTACCATTCTGCACAAGAGAAATGTTAGTTTTCCATACGCTATACCAGTCATGCCGAACAGGACGCATGCATGCTTAATTAAAACAAAAGAGAATAGAAGAGACATACTCTTTGCTTGTATTCATTACTGCAGACTGATAGACTGACGAATGAGCATCCTCTCCAGTTGTAGGGTCCTTCGATGGCACATACCGCCACAGACCACCGACATGCGGCTCTGCCTCAAAGCACACAACATCTAATCCTTTCTCTCTGCACTCCTTGATGCTTGCAAGACCAGAGGCACCTACGATCCAATGGCATTTATTAGCATGGCATGCCAGTGGACAACCACAAGCCGTCAAAAAGCAGAGAAAGACAGCCTTCGGTTCATTTTCCAATACCCCATTCAACGAAAGAAGTGAGAGAATGAATTCTTAAGAGGCTTTCAGGATGAATGCATACCAGCTCCAATGATGGCCACCCTCTTGCGCTGTGGTTCTACGGCTCCAGCTGATGATGTAGTGACGACATTGATGGTTTTGAACCAACTTGTACAACCTTTAAAGACGAATATACTTTTGTCCCATCGAAATGCCTGCACCCAACCAGTATCAGGGCAAGAGGACCTGCTGGGTCTGCGACAGCAGCGCTACAAATGCTTGCGGATCATGCAAGATTGCGAAATA